TATACAGTTCTACTTTATCAGTGTATACAGTTTTAATTACTGTATATTATTCGAGTCTGTTACTTGAACATGCCTAGAATTTAAATTAAGTGGTCATATAAAAAATGCTAGGTCTACAGTAAAGTGAAACTTGTCAAATTCTGGATGCTGGAGAAGATGTTTTTATTCCAATCTTTCTGGATGATGTGTATGGTTCTTTAAGGAATAATGTTTAACAATAATCTTTCCATATTCCTCCTGGATGGGGTCCAATACTTCCTCATACTCATGTCAAAGACCCCTTCCATAGTACTATTCATTCATTCTGCGATCTTTATGGATTATTTCTAGGAATTTCTTATCAACTGAAGTAGATAATTTCTTTTAGTTTCTTAAGTTCTTCGTAATTTACTTGAGATTTTTTATTTGTTACTAGATGGATTTCTTGTGGTCCTCCATGACTTCTATATTAGATTCTTTAAAAATCCTGGAAGATTTCTGCATGATTTCCTTAAATCCAAGAGAATTTCTTAATTTGACAGTTCCTTCTCAAATCCTAGAAAATTGTTTAATCCCGAGGGTTTCTTCTCAAATCTTAGAGAATTTTTAAGAGTTTAGGATTAATTCCGTGAGTTTTTAACCATGTGTAAAATGCACTTACAAGATCTCCTTCAATCTGTTTGGACGAGATCCAGAGCTACTTTGTATTGATCTCTCTGGCACCTCCATGTGGATGATGTATACCAGCTTTGCAATAATACGCCAATTAGCAAATGGCTCTTACACTATTACACTAATGGTATTATTCACGCGTCAGTATCCCGGTTGTATGTGCCCAGGCCCCAATTTATTTACATGTACAATTGATTTGGCTGCACCAAGTTAATTACTCCTTAATGGATGGGGAATCCGTCACCTTGGCTTAACGTTAGTTGTTGGAATAAAATTTTTAATTAGCTACTACGAATATTTTGCAATGTAGGGTGATTTTAATATGTACCAGCAATGGATATTTTTTTAAGAACTGTAAAATCACAAATTAGATTATTAATTGTGTTTATTATATTTAACAATCGTTAATTTAGTTGAACACTATTTACTATATACTACATTCATTGATGGGTGCATGTTAGTTGCTGTACATATTAAAGGGGTTTAAAAATTCAGCATTTCATTTTAATTACAAAATATAATTCTAAGTAATTTTTATCAATAATTGGAAGGGAACATATTATATAGCTTATTAATATATGCATTTTTAATCATCTTTCATCTACTTTAATTTAATAAGTGAAACTATGTTATAGCCTTATGGATACATCTTTTATCTACACAAATTATAATGACCAATATACTTTTTCCTGTTTAATTGATAATTGTTGCTGAATTTGATCGGCACAAACTTAACGCTATGTGCACACACATAATAGAATCTGGCCAAATTTTAATCAATCAATAATGGTACTCGATAAAACAGGGAATTAGCCGCTTCTTAGCTATCCTTTTCCGCGTTAACGCTTGAGCGGTGTTTGCAAGGCTTGCACACTAGTGTCATCAGTATCCCTCGGGAACACCCGCTGAGATATAATTGACTCGCCGCCGCTAACGGTGTGCAATTTCCTCACGCGAGCATTTATCAATTTCATGCGCATTCAGAGAAGCAAAACTGGAATGCCGCTTTTAATCAGATGTTTCATAATCGTGTTTTATATCTTAAGTTGCCATGGCGATCCTTTGTTGGTGTATGCTTTCTAGCACACAGGCATTATTCATAGATCATTGGCTAACTCATGCATGGCTATAATATTAAATTCTTTATATTAGTTTGAGACTACAAGACTAAGTAAATTATAACAAAGTCCATGTTTTCATTATGGTCATGTGTATTGATCTTTTCTGATGTCCGTCTCAAAGTCAACACTCATAATTACCTAATCTACAACTCACTGAATTTTCATGAATTGCCTTTATCGTGATGAGCCAGAAATTGTAAACATGTTATTTTGCATTATTAAATATTAAAGTGCCTCTAAAGTTAAGTGATTCTTCTATCTGTAAATAATTCAAGCATCATCATATACCATCAGTGCACCATTTATAGTAGTGGTATAAAAAATGATTCTTCTACAATAAGCTTAATTTGTAATTTATGTTAAAAATATTTAAATATACTGCTAGAAAATTTTTCTCATAAACAGATACAAATTAAAATGCAAATAATAATAATGTTAAAATGCAAATAAAATCCTCAGCACATTAGATGGGTTCCTGAGGGAAGGGGAGCAACTTGCATTTTACCTACTGTTGTAGACGGCACAGCGTAGGAAGGAATTGTCAATGTAATTATCAACTATACTCCTGGGTCTTGTGACTATGAATAGCAATCCATACTGAAGAGGCTATACCAGTATAATGAATAAATAAACAAAAGGAGCCCTGTCATCCTGTTCCATGTTTGAAAAGCATCTGGGTCCTATGTTCAAATCCCTATAGTCATTTTTCATATGACTAAAATATACTCCTATTTATTTATTTATTAACAGTTTTTAACCAGGTGGCCCAATCAGTCAAGTAGACTAGTCTCCAATTGGGCCCTGGGTACAACATTTTTCATATGACTAAAATGTACTCCTATTTATTTATTTATTTATTCACAATTTTTAACCAGGGTGGCCCAATCAGTCAAGTAGACTAGTCTCCAATTGGGCCCTGGGTACAACAGTTTTCAGATTAAAAATTAAAAAATATTTAACTAAAATTATAAAAAATTTAATAATATAAAATAAAAGCTTAAAGTAATGATGCCTTTAAGTTACTTTTAAAAATATGTAAACTTCTGAAGATTTGGTTACTTCACTTAAAGTGTCAAAAAGATCACAAATAAAATTAAAGCTTTAAGAAAGATAGTTACTATCATATATCTGTCTGTCAAACTCAATTAAATGTATGATCAGACTAATGTATAATTTTTTTTCAGATATATCTGATATAAGTAAATTATTTTTCTAAAGCCTTGTCCAGACTCAACTTTTATTTGACAGAAACCTATTGACATGCCTAAATATGGTCATGATGACATCACAACATTACCAAATATAGGCACATCATGACCATATATACTCACATCATGACAGGTTAGATAATACTCTACTTTGTCAGATAAATCTAATAAAATATTGTCTCCTTGCAATTGTGGCTCTAAGATATACTTTTCAGACTGAGCAGTCTGACAGATGATCTGACAACTTCTAATGGAAACATGTGAAATGTAGGAGGAAGGGTCCAGGGGGCTAAGTTGGCTGGCGCCTAGAGACACACACTGGGCGTTTTTCTTTTCTGCCGCTGACGCCGCAACTTTGGCCAGCTCTAGTTTATAGAGCATTATAAAGTCGTCCATTCTGTAAATGGTGAATGATGTCGCTGTTTGATGAGAATGAGCATTTTAAATATTAACTTGAGTGTTTGGTTGTTGGAAAGTCAAACGTCTTTGATTTATCGTTGTTATAATGGCCAGTTTAGATGATTGATTCATTACGCTTTTAGTCTTTGTTATTATTTTACTGTAGAATATTGATCTCATCTAGTTCACTGTAGGTTGATGTCGATATTGTGTTTAAAACTTTACAAATTAATCGTATTATAATGTTGGAATTTCCGTTTAAAAATCTTTAGAATCCTTTTACTAGAATGTTATTCCTAATATCTGTCTCTTATACACATCTAGATGTGTATAAGATGTTTAATATGTTTTTTGTTGCTTCAATAAAAATATATAATCAAATTAAAACAGTATTGAAATAAAAGAAACTTAATTCCTGAATAATGCAAAATAGCTTACAATTTGAGTTTTTTTTTTGTTTATTTATTATATTATATTACTCAACTGGGATGGACGAATCTGCATCAGTTGAGTATTTGAATAAATAGATGTGTGCATTGACTACACATTATCATTAGTATAAAAGCACCATGTTTTAACAGGCTTATTTATACTATAATCATTGAGTAACGTGTGAGAAATTCTATACTCTGATCTTACAAGCAGGTGTAATTGTTGATGTTGGTGCTTGTGATTTTCCAATAGTAAGGGGGTCAACTTAAATCTGGATGCATGTAATCTGTATACTGTAGGCTTATGAATATTTACAATAATTTGTGCAAAAAAAAGTTCAAAGACTTGATGTGGCAGAACTGTCTTTGCAGAAAGGTCATTAACACATTGAATGCCAAAATACTAGTACTAGTCACTGGCTACGCACTATGAGAAGACTGTTAAAAGGGACAAAATGTACAATGCAATTAATTAATAAAATATTAAAAGTTTATATCAAAAAGAAAAAAAAAACACCCCCAGGATTTGAACTTAAGATCCTCTGATTACTATTTGGGTATTCGGGCAACTGAGCTATGACACCGAGCCGGTATCACTTGGATTTCTTCTATAAGTTTGCGTAAAATGTATAAATAAGTTTTTGACATAATAACAATAATAATAACAATGATAACAATAATAATAATAATAATACAGTATACTCTTATATGAATAGTAGTCCTAATTATGATGAATCTAAAATACCAATTGAACAAGACTACATTCAAATACTGTAGCCTATAGAGTACTACAGCCGAGTCGTCACAACACTAGGTGGCGCCCTCTGGACGTTGGTTACCATCATTACGCCTGAATGACTTCATAATCATAATAGTTTAGAATAGGCTTTCTGGAGTAGGCATTTTAAAACTTAATAATTTACCATCAAAATGTACTAAAAACACAAAAAAGCTTGCATTATATTAGTTATAGAACACACATTTAATCATCAATTAACATTTACAAAGAAAAATTAAGATACAGTACAACTTCTTAATAATTACGTTAGAAATTGGGATCAATGGTTTGTCAGTGGAGAAAATGGTGTTGGTTGAACGCATTTTGTGTATCCGATAGCAACGGATTATAGTATCGTGACGTAAACACTATAGTACTCTATAGTAAATGTTATCCTTTTTTTCTTCTTTAGGGGCGCATTTAGTGAAGTTGTATTAGCTGTCGATAAAAGTAATGGTGATACAGTGGCAGTCAAGTGCATTGAAAAGAAAGGAATCAAAGGAAAAGAGGATGCCTTACTAAGTGAAGTTGAAATATTAAGAAAGTAAGTGTCCATTTTGTCCATTTAATAGCCTATAATTGATTCTTGCAAAAAAGTATTTGTTGTATACCGATTGTTGTTTTAATATGCATGCAATTTCCAGTGTATAATAATATTATGTCGTACAGTAGATGAGAATATTTTATTATCCTAGTAATTGGTATAGTAATTTCTCCGGTATTTTTGGAAAATTGGTGCATAAATACAGTACTATAAAAGGTCTCTCTCAGCCATACAAATCTATACCAGGGAGATGTAAAAAATTTTTACATCTCCCTGTCTATACTACATTATCCTAGTACTGTAGATGGCCTATAATATATGCTGCCTGACAGTAATGTTCCTGAGCCTCCTTAATCAGGCTCTTTGCTACTTCTAACCAATTTAGTAATAATCAATGTTAAAGATTATAGTTGATAGGGCTGTGCTATCAAAGAAAGTACAACCTGTTAGTATTATAACATACAGATGTGTAATAAAGCCATTTGTTTGTTTATTGTAGAATCTTACTGTACCTACTTAAGGTAATTATCCTATTTATAGTTTCCATGGTAATTGTGTACATAGTTTATTTGTAATAATTGGATAAGATGGATTTACATTGATCAACTTCAATTAGAGTAGTGATTTAGAGGTTTAGTTCCTTGCCTTTAAATGTTAAGTTCCTAGGTTCAAATCCTAGAGTAGTCAAAATATGTTATTGCATTTGAAAACTAGTATACTTATATCTGATTGATACCTGCAACATCTACTACTTGTATGTCTGAAAAATATATTATTTGAGTGATTATTATTTATTAACAATATATAATTATAAAATTAATCTATTGATGATAATTATATATAAAATAAGAATTATTGTAACAATACCCTATAATATGTATATTTATGCTGATAATTACTTTTTATTGATTATAGAAATTGAGATTACTGCTTTGACATTTAAATTTATCAGAGCTTAATATGCTCTTAAAAAATTCAGCTTGTAGGTTATTCTGAACATCTATCGTTTTTAGGTTCTTGTTAAACTGGTAAAACTAAAAGCGTATCCTTCTGTTAGTCTGACATTTCTTGCATTCTCGACAACCGTACCGTAGGAATTGGCAAAATTTTAGCACTGGCAGTAAAGTGCCTTAAGGCAGAACATTCAGTTTTATATTCAGTGAATTTATAGGCCTAATTATGTATGTCAAATCTTATTATGATCGCGTGGTCAATCTAAGCAGCTATCTGGAGTGTACTCTTTCTTTATGTGGTGGTTCATTAGATGTTAATTAGATTCTGCTAATTGAAATCTTGCGATTAGCTTTTAAAGCAATTAAAAAATCTACTATAGAAAAATATCCACACATATTGTTGGATTAAATTAATTATTAAAATGTTTTGTTGATATATCAGGTAATATTAAATTAAAAATATAATATTTATAATAATATCCATAGAATTTAAAACAGTTTAAAATTACTTTAAAAAAAAAATTATATGGATTTGTATGAGATTCGAACCCATATTTTTAGTTACTAGCATGGTTTGGTGCCATTTTACCACTTAATCTGTACTGAAAACTCAGTTGATATGTTAAACTGTTGTGTTCCAGGTTTTTTTTTTTTGCGGTGACATCAAGGATGACCCAGGAAAGTCTAAAGATTTTTTTTCTATTAGTGGTGGTTAATTAGACAATGTACTGGGAGTTATACCTGTACCCTTTTCAGTAGAATGTACTTAACATGCACATCGGACCAATGGTTTAATTGTTATATATTAAATTTCAGTACTCCCACCCTTTAAATTTTTTGATGAGAAGTAATTTTTAAATTTTGTCCTTCCTGATAATATTTGTGTTAAATTATTTATTTTTGATAATTATAATTATTGATGATTTATCATATGGATTTCTTTTTCTTTTCTAGAGTTACACATCCCAATGTTGTACACCTGCAGGAAATCTTTGAAAGCAAAAACCATGTTTACTTGGTCATGCAGCTGTAAGTCAGATTTAAATTTTATGTATTCATTATCAAACATGTTATTATAAAATTATTATTATTATTATTGAATACCGTATTAGCATTTACTATGCATCATTCCTTCAGGGGATTTAGTACTTACAATGTCAAATTGTTTACAGTATTTAGGATCTGTACATTGATTTAAAATTTAAAACATTGTATCAATGTTGCTGAATGTCGAACTTGTTTGGCGTAAAAAATATTGTGCCGAATAGCTGTATAGACAAAAATATACAAGTGGTGAGATTAGAATTAGGGAGGTATGTACTACAAAAGATATATAACACAAATTTGGGCCACTGCCCCCCTCCTTTGGAATACACCCCTATTGAGGGGACGTTTTTTCGGCAACAAGTATATTTTTTCACACTACGGCCAACCCCTATTCAGGGGACACACCTATTAAAGGAACACTTTCCTTGGTCCAGAAAGTGTCCCCTTAATAGGGGTTCTACTGATATGCTTGGCGAGTTGAATGGCCGAGCGGTTAAGGGAGGCGCCGCTACCTATAGCCATAACATTCGGCGCTGGTTCGAACGGCACGCTCGCCTATGGTTCCGGAGGTGGAAAAAGTCTTCTCGGATAAGGACTTTAAACCGTAGGCCCAGTGTACACATTTGGCTCGTGTGCACTTTAAAGAACCCAGTGCATCTTTCGAGAAGAGTAGGGGGTTACCCCG